ATTATGAACACACTAATAAATTATATACCCTTAGTCTTGGGTCAAGTAGCGTGGGGGAGTAATGAAAACAATTTCTGAACTCTTTTTAGTGTTGGGTGCTTTTTTTTTTTGCATTATCATTTTTGATAGTGACATAAGCAAAGTAATTCTGAAACAATTTAAAATGTATTATAGGAATGCAAAACTAAGTTAATGTAAAAAGAGAGTTACAGATGTGAAATGGTGGAAATTGAGGAAGAGCCCTATGGTAATGAATTGGAATTGGAGTGTTGGTGTAGACTCATATATAAAACATGCATATATTTCTTATCTCTGTCCACTGGAAGGCCCAAGAAGCAAAGACACTCCAGTAGCAACAAGAACGTCTAGTGATGAGATGTTGATTTCTAATACGATTATCCATTAAAAGGAACCAGGACTCCTCAGAGAAAGACTGATTCCAGGGCTGGGGAAGGTAAGATTCAATATGGACCTGGAACATCTTTTATATCAGGAAGTTAAAAGAAGTGCCTGAAGCAATTATAGGATGTGTCACAAGGACATAGGAGCTAGTTTGAAGGGACTCCACTGGCCAAATACGGGAGATTTTGAGATTAATAAATTATAAACCCTCAAAAATTAGGAATTCATGAGTCCTTATTGATGATCAATCAATCAATCAATAAAGGAGAAGCATTCTTGTTTTGAATGCCAAGTGCCAATTGGCCAATGCAGAGACAGATTTGGAGTCTGAAAAATCATCATTCTGCAACCATCACAGTAGAGACTGCTTCAAGCAAAAAACATTCATACGTGTTAAATCTAAGGGGGAGAGGGATTTTGCTGAAGAGCAGGACGTTTGGGAGGTTTAATGCATTCCCACATTTTGCATATTCCTAGGAAAGGAAAAAGCAGCAACTGTATAGTAGAAATTTCCAATAAACTGACCCATACACTAAAGTATTTGGGGGAAAGAGATATGATGTATGCAGCTTACTCTCAAATGGTTCAGTAAAACAATAATGCATACACATATAGAGAAAAAGAGCAAATGATAAACAAATGGGACAAAGTGTTAACTATTGGTGAATCTGAGTAAAGGAAACATGGGTGTCTTTGTACTACTCTTGAAGATTTTCTGTTTGACATTATTTCCAAGTAGAAAATTTACAAAAAAGCAAAAAATAAATCTACACAAATGCCATTGTTTCATCATCCTCTGAGTAAATGAAAGTGTCACAAATGATAGAACAAACAAGAAAATATCCAAATGGTAAAGTTTCCATCTTGTTCTTTGTCTTTCTTTGAATTAGGGACAGATTGTTGGATATTTTACACAAACTTAAAAAAATGATGAAACATCTGATTTAAATAGTTAAATATAATAGGCTACATTATGTACTTAGTAGCGATACAAGTATATTTCCTCTAAAATGTGAATTTCTTACACTGCAGTCTTTTAAGAGCCAAGCATTTAATGCCACACAAGATGGATTACAGAATAAAATTACTTCCCTGTGGATAGACTTTTAAAACTAAATTAATATTTCAAAGCATATGGCTGTTACATGAATTTCTCCCAAATTTCCTTTGAAAAGCTAATATGGTCATATTGAGTGGGAAAAAACCCTCAAACTCAAATCCCACTTTCAATTATGAGATACTTATCAGAAATCCTTGTGAGACGTAAAATTAGAACATTTAAAAGGTGATTTGTAGGGCTGTTAATAGCCGAACTATGGTGAAAATGTGAAGATGAGAAACAGCAGTATACTAAAATGGGTATAAGAGCTAGAAAGAGAAACCTGGATTTAAAACCTGCTTCTTTCTCTTAGAAGTCACTTGAGGCAAGAGGCAAGATTCTCTAAGTCAGAATTTTCTAAACCAGTGGTTTGGTTCTAGTTGTGGTACCCAGCCAGCAGCATCCGCATCAACCAGGAACTTTTTAGAAATGCAAATTCTCGGGTACCACCCTAAAACTACCAAATCGAGTTAGGTCCAGTGACCTGTGTTTTAACAGGCCCTGCAGGTACTTCTGATACACACTAAACTTTCAGAACCATACCGCTAAGCTACAACAAAAATAACAGTAATAAAAAATAGTAATAGTAATGCAATCCATTTTAGGATTATGATGATTAAATGAGATATTACATATGCAGAAATGATTTCTAAACTGTAGCAAAAACCCTCATCATTATTGTGTGACATAGAATTGTGAGAGAAAAATCTTAAAACCAATAGTACTTTGTGCTTTTATCAAACTGCCCTTCTACAAAACTTCAAAGAAGGTTAATTCCTTAAAACTTCCCACACTTGGTACTAGGTCTTGAACATAGGATTGCTCATTAAGCTTTATTGATGCTAACTGAAATAAGTTCAGTTGACCAACATCATTGGCAAGTATTTTATCTCTTGTTTTTGATGTGGTCAAACTGGGAATTTTAAACGTCACTGAAACCAACCAAGCTATTAATTTTGAAAGACAATTTAGCTTCTGTGTTTAGGGGCAGATGTTCTGCTTTGGAGTTACACTATCGGGCACCACTCATTGCTGTGTGACTTTGGCAAAGTTATTTACCCACACTGGGCCTCCTGACTTTGCTCATAGAACAAGGGTGATAATAATAATAGTATCTACCTCAATGGGATGTTGAGAGTATTCATTGAAATTTTAAAGAACTTAAAAATGGCCCTGGTACACAGCATTCAATATTCTTTCTACGCCCTGAATGCCATACTTAGTTCATCTCCCTTTTACTTCTTCAGTTTTTCCCTCCTTGCTTTCTTTTGGGTTTTATGCCCATGTCTGCATGAACACTTTCTTTTCTTGGCATCTGCACATCTTTTAATGAAGATGAAGACCAGACACACATAGAAACCTTAAATGTACATAAAATGATGTATATACTCTTATCTCCTATTATGAATTAGCATAGCTTTTGAAATATCAACTTCTTTGAGGTAAAATGTACATACGCTAAAGCATACACATTTTAAGTGTACTGTTAAGTGTACAATTCCATGACTTCAGCACATGTACACACCTGTAGAATAGCCACCATTATCAAGATATAGAACATTTCCATCACTCCAAAACAGTTCCCTCATGACCTTCTGCCATCAATCTCTTCCTACACACACCCTCAGGCAACCATTCATCTGCTTTCTGTCACTATAGATTAATTGTGCCTTTCTAGAATTTCATATAAACAAAATAACACAGTAATTTGTTTGTGTCTGGCTTCTTTGCTCAGCATATTGTTAGCAGAGATTTATCCATGTTGTTGCATGTACTTCAAACTTTCTTTTATTGCTGAGTAGTGTTTCATTGTATGGATATAGCACAATCTGTTTATGCATGGGTTACTTCCAGTTTTCCTTTCCCATTTTTCCTCTTAACTATATATCTTATGGATTTTCCCCATCATTTTAAAGTTCATATATAACGTGCACATATCCTAATTTACTTAATTGTTTTACCTCTGTTGGACATGTAGGCTCTTTACCGTGTTTTAAAATGATAATAAACACTGTTATAAATATCTTCATGAATTCAAATATTAATGGAATCCAATTTGGGAATATGATTCTTGGACTATAGTCTTTATCTTTCAATGGTTTAGAAATATTTTCACTCTCTTTTAAATTCCAAGGTTGCAAATGAGGAGTTTAATGTCTGTCTGATTCTTTTTCTAAGAGACTTTTTAAAAATTATATATGAAAATTTATATGATTTTAATTTATACAAGTTCAAGTAGGTCTCGGGGATATGTATATATGCATGCCTCTTTAAAAAAAAATTTTGGAACTCACCATTTTACATCAGAAAATTCAAATATTATTATAGCTCAGAATTTAAAAAAAAATATCTTTGCTGTTTGCTTCTTCATTTTTGGTTCTTCAAAAACTGCTTCGAGCCTGCATATTATTCTCATTTGGGGCCTCCTCTCTCTATGTGCCTTGGAGTTTTTTAAAATATTTTTATCCATGATTTCCTCATCTTTATACTTCTTCTCTATGTTACGAATATGTGCTCTGTTTGATTGAACAGTCTAAGTTGTTTTTGAACGTGATCATTTTATAATTTTTCTGTAATTTAAAAAAAAAAAAACTCAAGTCAAGCTTTATTTTACTTTCCAGAAACTGTGAGGTTGTAGGACCAAGGGATGAAGTTTCTCAGAAGCCAAGGATTAAATGTTTGGATTCTAACTTAAGGGCAACAGGAAGCCACTGAGTTTTAAACAGGTGAATGAATGTGATTAAATCTGTAGTTTAAGAAGAAATAATCTAGCTTCAGTCTGGCTGATCTCCCTTGAGGCAGGAGAATGGTTATCATGGAGACTACAAGAGCCTATATTAGGGCAGAAATGGAGGCCAAAATGCAAATTCATTTGAGTGGGTATTAGGTGTACAATCAGTGGTACTTGGTGATAGACTGGTTATTGCGGCTGAGGGAGAAGGAGAAATTGACCAGGCTTCTTGTTGGACCTGGTGGATGGTTAGCTCTGCAATGATGCATGAAATACAGTAGGAAGGTCAAGTGATGTTTATTTTGGAGGCGATGTATCCTTGCATCCTCTAATACACATGTAGTAGTATATTTATGAACTCCTAGAGGAGGACTGACTAAAGTGTTTGTGCATTTGAATTTTGATACATATTGCCACAGTGCTCTCCTTAAACCATTCACTGTTTCTGTACTTTCCAATTCTCCTAGGTTTTCCTCACTGGTTTTCTTTGTCTAACATCTTAAACCCTGAAAATTCCCTTCATTTGTGTAAAGATAAAATACAAAGCTTTTCTTCATCCATTACTTCCAAAGGAAAAATTGGAGTGGAGAGCAGAGCGATAAAGGAGCTTATAAAACTCCGTGTCGATAGCCAAAGCAAAGGGTTAGAAAAAGTTCCTTCAGGAGAGGACCAAGCTCCTCGAGTCACTCTATAGAAGGAAGAACTGGAGCGTGGGGAGGAGTCGGGGCCACCCCCGCCCCCAGCCTCGCGTAGGTGCCACCCGCGGAGATGAAATGTGAGCCCGGGTGGCCGAGGACGCTGGATCGGCCGCTTAGCCCGCCGCCCGAGCGCCACGGGGACAGACAAAGAGACCTCCGCCCCAGCGCAGCCCCGCGCGGCGGCCCGGGCTCCCCTCGAAAGCTCCCAGGGCGATGGCCAGGTCTCCGCGCCACCCGGCTCTCCAGAGCGCTGCCCTCTCCATCTGACCGCCCTCCAGCTCCCCCATCCCCTCCCGGTGCCGGGCTCTCCCTTGGCTCCCAGCCCTCTCTACAGACCGGTCTGTCTGTCTCTCTGTCCATCTCTGTCCAGGCGCGCAACCTCCGGCCACCGGCTTGGATGGACGCGCGGAGGGTCCCCGGGTGTCCAGGGGTCTTGCTTCCGAAGTTGGTCCTGCTCTTTGTCTACGCAGGTCAGTGACCTAGGGCGGCGGGAGAGGGGAAGGGGGCTCGGGGCGGCGCTGGGGTCACACTCCGAGCAAACACGGGTTGCGCGGGATGCACGGGACCATGGTGGGAGGTCAGAGACTGTGCGGTCCCCGCAGGCAGGAGCAGAAGCCCGCGCCCGCGCTCTGCAGCCCTGGGCTTGACCTCCACGCGGTTGTTTTGTCCCTTTCCTTACACGTTTCCTTTTTTTTTTTTTTCTTTTCCTTTCTCTCTCTCCACGAAGCAACTACCCCCAACCCCACATTTAGGGGTTATTGTTTTTATTTTCTGGATAGCGTGCATTTTTTCCAGTCGTATCCAGGACTCGGGAATTTGGGGTGAGGGTGGAGACTGAGCTGTGCGAGGAAAGCATGTTTTTTGAAAAGCACCTGAAGTTAGGGAGGCATCGCTGAGGTTTCAAATAAACTAATCTGATGACTTTTCCATTTCAGTAAATGCTACCCACTGGCCCCTCCACCTCCACATTCCGAATATTCCGGATTTTCCCTTTCAGAAATAAAAAAGGCTTAGACCTCTGTTTTTCTTCTTTAGAAGATGATCCTCAAGTGTGGTGGACAGGGTAATTGGAAGCTCTGAGTTGAAATATAGGGTTTTCGAGAGGCATAAATTCACCCAGAATCTGATCTGCTTTCGCTGAATTTGTTAAGTGCTTGCTTATAGGTGAAGGGCATCTCATTTCCCTCATCCTAATTATTCTTAGAGAGAATTGCTAATAATTGATGAAGCAAAGCAGTTTTCTTGTTTTGTGACTGATGCTGAGACAAAAATGGCCTTTCATTGGTTATTCATGTATAAAGTTAATTACACATGAGGCTTTGCATCCGCTTCATATTTTAAAAAACAGGATAAAAGCAGAGTTCTTTGTAAATGTTTTCATGTCTCTAACTTCCTATGACAAACACCACAGGCTTACCTATGACCTTGCAGTAGTAAGTTTATGTATAGCACTGTGCTGGCCTTTTGATACTTACAATGATATTGCAACCAAAATGAAGACGTTCTTCAGCATTCTTACCTGCACATCAGTAGAACTGAATTTCTCATTCAACCTTGCCAGAAATGAATCACAATAACTTCTATAGAAGTTTCCAATCTGTTTATTAAAATGTAAATTAGTGTCTGTCTATAAGTTGTTTTAAAGATATTTTATTGTAGGGGAATAGCTGACCTTCAAATACAGAAATTTATAAAATAGAAAAAGTACTTTCTATTTAATGAGGAGAGTCCACATTATAATGTTTTTCCAGCACTACTTAAGTCATATAATGTTTTTAGAATTTGAGAGTCTAACAGAATCAATTGCATTAATATTTGTGTTATATTAAAATCTTAATGTTAACTTAAAATGTTAAATTAAAATTAGTTCATTTGAAACAATGATAATTCTTTCCACTTCCTCTGTTTACCGAAAGAAAACAAAAATAAGAAAATAGAACACAGCAAATGAAACTTTAATTCCCTTGCTCACCTTATTCACACCACTGAACAACTTTTTCTTGTTCTTTTGTCCATTTTATTCTCTTTGGTGAGCCGAACGCTTCTAATTTGCACTTTTCCTTCCCTTCTTCCTGTTCCCCCAATGTTAAGTGCACAGCACCCCTAGGATTCAGGAAACCCGCCCAGATGGCCAGCAGCAAGCTTGATCAGTTTAAAAAGTTTTCGTTCCATTCATTTCTTCTCTCCATCCTCATCCCTCCCTAGTACGCTACAAAGTCATTGCAAGCCAATACTAGGTCACGTTATCATCTTTGATAAGAAATGATTAGCTAATGTGCTTTTGATATTAATTCCTGAACTCTATTTCAGAGGCCTTTTTATGCTTGCCGTATTCACTCAACTAATATTTATGGAATGAGAAGTGTTGAATGATACGTAGGACAGAGGCCATGCTTTGAGTCTTGTCTGGGAGATCAGGTGTGCCCTTTACTCTAAGGTATAAAAAGCTGTATTATAGGAGAGATACACCATGTGCTCTAGGTGTTTGAAGGAGACCTTATTGCTGGCTTAGGAGGATATGCTCCATGAAGATGATGTCTATTTTGTTTAGCATAATATTCTCAGAGACTAGTGAAACACCTGGCCCATAAGAGGAACTCAGGAAATATTTGCTCAGAGAAATTAAATTAAGGAGGACATTTTAGGACCTACACCTTTGAATTAGAGGAAGCCTTGGACATAGGAGATATAGTAGGATAGATGTGAACAAAGGCAAAAATCATGAGATTTGTATATGCAAAAACAGATAACACAGTTGGGTTGGAACTAAGAGATAAGGCTGGAAGTGAGGATTGGGATGAGACGGGGGAACACGGAAGACATAGAATTAATCCAGATATGCTGTTAAATAAATTGCCAGCTTTAATGGGACAAAAACCTATGCAGATGCACTGTCCGTAACCTGAATTATTTTCTCCAAGGAAAATGCGTTAAATACAGCTTCCATTCGTTAAGGAAATAACAGCAAGGTTTCTATACCTGAAGCATCATGTCTGACTGTGGAGTCACTTTGGGGAAGGGATTCAATGAAGTGTTTATATTATTATCCAACTCCCACTGCAGGCTACAAAGACAGGATTCGGCCAAGGTTTTAACCTTCCCAACCCTAGCCAGTGACTTCTGTCTCCTCCTTTTCCTTCCTTTCTGATCCTTAGCTATAGATTACAAGAGCCAATTCTGAGCAAGTGCTTGGAGCCAGATGCTTTACTGTACTACACATTTCTTAAGATGGGAGTGGGGAAGCTTCTTCCAGATGCTACCTTTAACTAAAGTCATTGATGAAAATTGGAACTAGCTAATTTTCAAGGATGTTAACTTGAATATTAGTAACAATATTATTTATCTTCTGAGGGCCATTGGGATGTTTCATTCTTTCACACGTGAGAAAATGCTTCTGTACTGTCCAAACTGTGATCTTTATAGGATTGTTCTCAAATAAATCGGAGAAAGCAACTAACATATCAAAATAAGTTTGAGGTGTGGTTGACCCCCCAATTTGGAAATGTTGTGATTGTGAATGTATTTGCCATACTATTAAACCTTGCCTTTTCAGTTGTTTAATTCTGGGAAGTAGACAAGAGTGTGGAAAAGGCCATAAAAATAATGAACAATGTGTGGCAGGATCTAGATGTTTGCTGCAGGTATAATCCAGCTTCTTGGCTACAAGATTTGGGGCTTGGTTTCCTGTAACATTGGCTCAAAATATTTTGATAACACCATGTCCTTACAATAGCAGTAATTGAATTTTCGATAATCATGGAGAGCTTAATAAGATGTCACTGTCTTGGGCATTATGCAAAAGGCACCCCATGAAGCTATTTAAAAATCACTTGTCCTGCTCTGACAGAATAAGGCGGGGGTGTCAGCTCTCCCACTATCTGAACGGCTTTTAAGAGCATAAAGCAAAACATCCCAGCTAAGCGCTTGAGATAACTGACTAGTCTAAATATTTGACTTAATTAAACAGTACTAAAAATAAAAGCTATAGAAATTCCCTGGGAAAATGATAAAATAAACTGCAAAAAGCAGACACTGTCAATAAATCATTAGATCGTGTTTTCTGCCCTCAAAATTTTGGATTTAAGTAGAGTTACTGAATCTTACAAAGGTAGTTATTTTTCCCTTTCATGTCTTCTTACCACATCCCAGAAGAAAACATTAAGGTTTGTTCATTTATGAAGTAGAATAAAATTGAGGAAAAGAAAACATGAACTTTTGACTTGTTCCACAGAGGCCATGCATTATTGATAAAGGAGAAAGAACTTTGCTGGGTTTTGATCGCATCAATTTGTAAAGAATCATCTTGTCAGGGAGGTGATTTAAAAGGAAAATCTGTATTTTCCTCTCTAGACAAATCAATTACATGGACGTGTAGGCATATATATAACATTTGCACTTTTATGTTATGACTTTGACAGAAAAGCAAAAGTCTTATATAATTTAGATAGTAGTTATTGCCTTCAGAGATTGAGTTGGAAATGACCTATTTTGTGATTCTTGAACATGTACCTTAAATTATCAGACTGTACTTAATGTTTTCCTACATGTACCTGAAACTCATATATCCATTGTAATTTATACCACTGATTATAACTAAATGATAACCTTAACTTGTTAAACATAAATCATTTAGGAAGAATAAAGAATTTTTTAAAGGTAGGGTAATTTTTATTTAACATTTTGGTATAATTTTCCTTGCCAAAAGCATGGAAAAAAGACAGTAATTTGGTTTTGTCAGCTCTGGTATGTCCTTTTTAATCAGAAAATACATTTCCCTTTTCACATAGTGCTGTTTCATAGCTTATTGATTCTTTTTTTTTTTTTTTTTTTTTTTTTTTGCGGTACGCGGGCCTCTCACTGTCGTGGCCTCTCCCGTTGTGGAGCACAGGCTCCGGACATGTGGCTCACGGGCCCAGCCACTCCGCGGCATGTAGGATGTTCCCAGACCGGGGCACAAACCCGTGTCCCCTGCATCGGCAGGCGGACTCTCAACCACTGCGCCACCAGGGAAGCCCTCATAGCTTATTGATTCTTAAATCTGGCATCAAATAAACTCTTAATTATTCACCAGTGAATTATCTATAGGAACTTTCCCCCACAGCTAACTAACTCATTATCTTCCAATCCAAATGGATTAATAGGATATGCAGACTCATCTGTGGTACCTTATATATACAAACTGTAATTACGAAGGTAAAAAAATGGTAGGGAAAGGGAAGCATATAATGCATTGTGGTGAAAAATATACATTACTTAAATATTATCTCCAGTTGATATTATTCATGTCAACAACACTTTCCATTAAATGTAGTTGAGAGTAGCACCCTAAAGTCAAAAGACTTTTATCATTTAAAAATTATTGCAAAAACTCTGTTGACGAATTTAATGTCTGATTAGTTGGATCACTCATTCCTCCCTTCAATGTCTCATTCAACCAACTCTGACTACCAATTATGGTGCTCGATGGAGGAGGTTCAAAGACTGGTCTTTGCCTTTTCCAGATTTATGTCTAATAAGGAAGGAAAACTAGTTTAGGTGCTTCCAAATGTTTTAGAATTGTGAGCACGTAAAATGAAAGTCTAAATGTGCTAAAGAGTGGTGGTTGACCGATCAAGATGTGAAATAGAGTGATTTTTCATGAAGGTGGGATTTTCAGAAATGTAACTGCATGGATATGGTTTTTATTTTGTAGAGGATTGCCTTGCTCAGTGTGGCAAAGACTGCAAATCTTACTGCTGTGATGGAACCACACCCTACTGTTGCTCCTACTATGCCTATATTGGGAATATTCTCTCGTGAGTATTAATCGAATTTGGCCATATTGATACTTTTTCCCTTGCCCGGTTATGTTTTCAAAAAGTACTAAGTTATAGCTATGAGTAGGAAATTCTAAGATTGATTGTTGACATAAAATCTTTACTGGAGACAGTCAACACTCATCACTATCTAGTGTATTGTATTATTTAACTAAATGTGCAAATTAATATACAAAATAAATTGCTTTTGTTAGAAGGGAGTTTAAAGAATATTTTTATTGTCTAATTTGTTTTATGATAATAATAATGTAATAGTAATAATAATGTTTTAACTAGACCATATTCATATATTGATCATTTTTTAACATTGTAAACTATATTTTTTGTCCATTTGTTGAAGGATTAGTAAGTTAGAATTTGTCATTTAATGATAGCCAGTTTATTTTGCCATGCATATATTTGTCTGACTCAGCCAGTAGATATCAGGGAAAAGAGACATTATGAATAAAAAAGAGTTGAGATATGAAACGTCAGTTTTCTACATGATGCATCTAAAGCAACTTTGGGAAACAAGATTAGATCCCAAGAAATCTAGCCTCAACAGGGTAAAGTGATAACCAACTACAAAAATCAATGAAACATACATGCAGAGAAGGTGTTAAGTATTTCTCTCTAACAAATTAAGGATTTATTTTAGAGATGCTTCTAGGCGAAGGGAAATGGACGAGCAGAAGTTGTCTTCAGGGTTGTATGTCTGAGGACTGTGCAACTCTCTGTTCCTCTACACACACCTTCAAGTTGAGAAATAGAAGGTAGAGAATAGGAACATAAGAATTTCACCCATGGGTGACCATCACCCATGGCTTTCAGGAGTCTGCATTTTGTATTTTTCAAGTGACTGTCAGGATGATTTGAAGGCTGCTCCATTGTGACTTAACTTGTGTTTTATGAAGGCTTACGTGGAGCCAGGAAAGATTAGGCAATAAGTGATGTGTGTCTGGCTATTTTAAGCATATACCCATTGAGATGGCTTATAAGTCATCCTCGGTTTCCTGAGAATAGAAAACCTGGCATCGCATAGACTTTCTAGAATCAAAGTGGGGCTGATCTTAGAGATCATGTCTCCATGAATAAGGCCAGAAAGAATCATACTTCACGATATTCTTGAAGACTGTCATGGCGATGGAAGAAATGTCAGGCTGTAATAAAGATTGATGAACAGAATTTAAGCATTCTTTGAAATGCAAATAAACTCTAAAATGTTTTAATTTTTTCTCATAGAAGATTTGGTGGAAAAACATTAAGTCCCTTTACATTTAGAAAACAGTCAGAATCAGCTTAGAATATAAATACATAATGATGTTTCTCATTTGTATATCACTTCATACTTTTTAAGTAAATTAAAATACTTCATTACTAAATTCAAATTTGATTCTTCCAATGATCTCCACATGCCAGAGGCTGTTGTTACAGGTAGATGTGTGACTGGGCCCCAAAGGTGGTATAGATTTGAAGAACCTGCTGTCAGAATGACTCTGATTCTTTGGTTCTGTGGCTCCTGGCCCATTTCTCTGCCCACTAACTACATCACAATGTGTGTGTTGTGCCCTTTTTCTCACCTCATAGATACCTCCAACCTGATAAATATATATAGAAGACATAATTACTTACTAATCAAAATAGTTAAATATTTTTTAATTTACAGTTGTGCTTTTCATGTTTTATATTTGCAATCAGATTCATTTTTTATGGTACCTATTCTTAGAACTAATTTTATCACTTGGTTAAAGTAAAGAATTTGTTGAGTTATATCTTTATCTGGGTTATTAGGGCCATGTACTTGCTATGTTTGAAAAAAACAATTGTGTTTTTTGGAGGGCGGAAATAAACACAGATGGCATTATATTTCAGGCAGCTAAACTGAATTTTCTGTTCAAAATAGAAACCACTAAGTAAATCCCTTGCTAAACAATTCTTAGAGAAAAAAAAGAGCTTTAAAGTGTTTTCCCCACTGGATAAAGGAGAATACATTTTCAGGATTTCCAGTTATTGTTTAAGATTTGAAAAGAGTTAACTCCACCCAAAGCTTTTCTCTTTTTTGAGTTAGGGTGGGTGTGTGGGGTAGAGAAAGAGAAAATAATTCCAAGAATGCTTACAAAAGTTCTTTCATACACATGTTTTCAAATATTGCTATTTTGGAACTCATATGTTATGCTTCTTCTCTTCCAAGCATCCAGGCACATTCTTAGTAAAATCATTTTAATCATCTTAACAGAGAACTTAATCTTCATGGTCATCAGTAAGGTAATAGGGAAGAAAGCAATAAACACAGTGGAATGTTTTGTATCCTAAATGAATAATTTTATAAATCTGGCTTCGAGTCTTGTTTATTTTCAAATAGAAAATGTCTTGGCTTAGCCTAGAATGAGCTAAAGCGAGTACAAAACACGATTTGGGTCATTCTAGACTGTGTAAATTGGTAAGGTAAGGCACACTTAATCCTTCTTGCTGAGGCCTCTCTAAAATAATGAGTAGAGGTGTTTAGCCCTTAATTCCATTTACTTCAACTGCTCTTTCTAAACTTCTGCAAATTAATCGTTAAGATTTGTTTTCAAAGATATCACAAGAGCTATCTTTCAATTCACCTTTTATATAGTTGAAAAGTATTATTTTACTCAGGTCTCTCCCTTTTACCCCCTTTCTATCAGTTAGGAATCTGAAAATTTATTTGTGTCTTGTGAAAACAATTTAAAAATTAAACTTTAAAAATAACATATATACTTTTTAAAATTGAGATGTAATTGATGTGTAACATTATATTGGTTTCAGATGTACAACATAATGATTTGATATTTGTATATACTGCAAAATGAGCAATACAATAAGTCTATTTGACATAAATCTATTTAAAATGGCATGCCTGCTTTTGCTCATTATGGTCACAGATATTGACTTCCATATAGAAAAGTAACAGTATTATTTTCCAGAATTTAAGAATAATTTTTGCAAAAGTCAGCATATACTATGCAATCAGTTATTTACAAATTCATATTGAGTGCCTGTTACCATGGCAGCATAGGATCCAAAGATGAATAAATGATGTTCCCTGACCTTTACAATCTCACAATCTTGTATAAAAAGAAAATGTAGACAAATAATTCTTCATAGAATTAATCTATGAAGTGTTATTGAAAGGCTGAGAAGAGAGAAAGCAGCTAAATGTGTGTGTGTGTGTTTAGAAAGAGATGTTTAGAGAAAGTCTCATAAATATGAAATTTGAACAGAGTTTTAAAGAAAGAGTAGATATTTACATAAATGGACAGTGAAGAAAAGGAAGAGCATTCCAGACAGAGACAGTGTCCCCTACAAAGGCAAAGATTTAAGAAAGAAAATGGTCAGTTTGGGAAAACCCATGTTGTTCAGTGTTGCTGGAAGAGGAAGGTTAAACTTTGAATATAACATACAAATAAATAGGTAAGACAAAAGATACACCCTTATTTTACAGACTTTTATTGGTAGACTACATTCTTTTATTGGTCATGTCTAACAAAACTAAAATAAAATAGTTCAGTATTTTTCTGGAAATAAGAGCTGGTTTTATGTAAAATGGACTCACTCTTAGAAACCACTAAGAAAAGGGACAAAGGTGAGAAGGCACCAAATGAACATTATTTTTACTTATTCCATAGAGAAAATATTTAGAGTGAACACTTTGAGATGTTACTCTATTTAATACCATTTATGACAGAATATGTGACTGGAAATTTTTCCTCCATTTTTGATCAGGAGTGTAACTACCTGACAATTAGAAACCTCACTGTGTTTGAAAATGAGAATTGGACCAATTTACAAAGTAAACAATTTCTCATCAAACTGATTCTCAAACATTTCATCCAGCCACTTTTCTCCATGGAAAATAAACATTCTGTCATGAATATGGAAATGGGTATTTCAGTTTTGCTGTTGATGAAATTTGACTGACATTTCCTAGAGATAGGATCCAACATAAAGATAAGGTTTATGGAGTATTCTTTAGAACTAGTAGAATTCAAGGGCTCAGAGGGTGCAATTGAGTGGCTAATTACCATTAGCAATGGGACAGACTAAAAGCAGGACTTTACTGAAAACGAAGAAAGACTGTTATGTGAATAGGAGAATAATTGTACAATATTGAACATGAACCAAATAATGACTGGGTTGGACGTGGTGAGCCAGATGATAAGATATAAAATTTAATCCCCTCATTCAGAAATAGATTTTTGCTTTTCCATGTTGCTTTCATAGAATGCAGATATGTCTAGGGATCCTTCAGTGTGCCATCTGGCCAACACAAAATTCCCACGGGGAAAAATCAAAAGAAAGAACTAATAATGGAGATGCTGGTGGGATTAAGTTTCTTTTCTTTTCAATGAAATGTAAAAGATGTATTGCCCAAAGTTTTGCAAAGACAGCTAATAAATATCACAACTGTGATGTTAGAACCATGTTATTCATGAAAGCAAAACTGAGTTAAAAGATAAAGGTTTCATATTTCCAAATGGCATTTGAGGTCCCATACTCACTAAGTAGCTGAGCATTCCGAATAAAATAAATGAGGCTGTTCAAATAAGGAGAAAAACGTAATACAGTTTGAAAGGCCTTTGGCATTGGTAAGAACATCATTTAAATTAAATGAATTAAAATGTTCTTAGGACTTAGATATGATAAAACACCTCTAAAAGGTACATTCTGAGCAAATCAAAGTTTGTGGGAGTCTTGTTTTTGTTTTAATAATGACAGAATGATAAATAACTAATATAATGTTAAAATGAATATGAACTTGATTTTAATGTTAATGAGGTGACTTTTGGAAAGCACCTGGGGATGGGGGCTGGTTGCCAGGGAAACCAACCATGTGATTAGGGGGTTGGGACTTTCAATTCCAACCCCTGTACCTCTAGGGAGGGAAGAGGGGCTGGAGATTGATTTCAGTATCAATGGCCAATGATTTAATCAATCATGCCTTTGTAATGAAACCTCCATGAAAATGCAAAAGGACA